ATCTCCTTACCACAATGCACAGCAGCTTCTTTTACATAATTAGCCTCTCCATTAACATCCGTCAGAAACAGTATATTGTTGGTTGAGTTGCCAGGGCCTGCTGCAATTCTCCTTTAACTTTGATTCTATTTTATGTTCAATCTTAGTAACAAAAAGCACTTCAAAAAGCTCAAGAATATCACCTTCTGTAAAATATTTTAAAAAATAGTTTCCATGCCTTTACTCTCCATGAAGAATAGATACATACCTTCACTGCTGCCTGTCTCTATTTTCTGACTGCTAGAACGAATATATCTTCAAAGAACTCAGCCTACTCTGTACAGCTACAAATGCTGCCCACCATATGGGACCCTGGAACTATTTCAATTCTAGTTTTATCCAAGGCATCTGCCAGTACACACTGTCTGCCACAGCCTGGATCATTTTCTCAGTGTCCTCTGCTCCATTCCCAGTTTCTGAAGAAATCAGCAGAATTCCATGCAAGTTAGAATCTTCTGCCTATTTTCTCAGAAGTTTTACATCCTGTTGACACTATTCTTTTCAGTTTACTTCTCTAAATTATTTAACATTCTCTCAAATACAGGAAAATAAAGTGTCTTTTATGAAATCAATTGGGGTTATAGTACCTTTCATATCTGACAGGACCACAGTGACTTCTGAGACACAAAGAGGACTACTCTATTTCTGTCCTTGATGCAGTCTGCCAAGAGCAGGGCAGCATAGCAAGAGCTTTTCACTTCCAAGGACATCAGCTGCACCTTCTTTGTATACTTTAAAGCTCTGTATAAATAAAACATTGCCTATTCTCTGAGGCTTATGAGGTTCTGATCCTCAAATCTGGAAAATACAAGACTCAAAAAAAAAACCAAACTACAGGTCAATATTGGTAAGTATTGATGAAGAACTATTAGAGACAAACAAAAATACATTACTGTATTCTAAATATTTATTTGACCAAGTAAGATTTATACCAGTAATACAAGGATATTCTTTTGTGACCAATTATATTCCATTAAAACTGGTAACTCAGAGTAAATAGAGGAATACTTACAAAATGATAAAATACTCAGATTAGCGTAAGAAATAGACTAAACAAATAACTCAATCAGAAAAAGAAACTGAACAAGCCATAAATAAACTCCCAAAGAAAAAACCCTAGGACAAGGTGTACTTACAAGTCATTTCTATTAAATATAGAAAACACAGTTAAATCGTACACAAAATATTGACCAAAAAAAAAAAAGCAAAAAAGGGCATCTACAAAATAAATATGGTCTTGACTAGATATCAAGAGCAGAGGATCAGGTAAAAGGGAGAGACTAAATAAAGAAAACTATAGACCTTTATCTCAAAAGATCATCAATGCAAAAAATTTTAATAACATATTATCAAGCAGGATACAATATTACTGGGAGGTGGTTCAACATAAGGAAAAATGTAAATTTTAAAAATGTTAATATAAATAATAAAAAGCAAGATTATATCAATAGATGCTGAAAAAGCTTTGGAAAAAATTCAGCAGTTTTTGCTATTACAAACTCTAGAAATCATAAGAATAAATGATCTTTCCTTAATGTGGTAAATAAGCTATATTTATATCAGAGTGGCTAGATGGCACAGTAGATAGAGCGCTGGGCCTGGTGTCAGGAATACCTGAATTCAAATCCAGCCTCAGATATTTTCTAGCTGTGAGACTACAGGCCTCAGTTTCCTCATCTGTAAAATGAGCAGGAGAAGGAAATGGCAAACCGCTCCAGTATCTTTGCTAAGAAAACCCCGAATGGGGTCATGAAGAATCAGATACAACTGAAACAACTGAACAACAAATAGATAGATAGATAGATAGATAGATAGATAGATAGATAGATAGATAGATAGATATTACACACACACACACATATAAAAGCAATTATATAATTATGTTATATAACTGTATATTATTATATCATTACTATGCAATGAAAAAATGGTAGATGCCTTTGCAATAAGATGAGAGGCAAAGCAAGGAAGTCCATCATAACCATTACTATTTAACATAGTGCTACAAATGCTAGCTATAGCAAATACATAAGAAAAAGAAACTGAGAGAATAAGCATAAGCAAGAAGGAAACAAAGTGATGTGTTTTACAAATGATATGATGGTATACTTAGAAAACTCTAGATACTAACAGAAATAATTTCAGCAAAGTTCAATGAGATAAGAAATTCATATAAATCATCTAATTTCTTAAAAGGTAAATGAGAGGTAAAGGTAAAAAAAAAAGGTAAATATAGAAACAGTAAAACCATAATAGTGGGGACCCAAATGTACCCCTTTTCAGACACAGAAAACTTTACCCAAGAAATAAAAAAGAAAGAAGTTAAGAGCCTGAATAGAATTTTAGAAAACTCTTTAGGCATTTCCCCAGCAGCTGCAATCCTTGGATTCTACCATCATCAAGCTCGCAGAAAAATCTCACCAAGAGAAAATTCATCCTAAGACTTAGCTCTTCACAGCAATGCAATGGTCTAAGACAGTTCCAAAAGACTCATGATGAAAAATGCTATCCATATCCAAGAAAGAACTATGAAGTCTGAATGCAGATCGAAGCATACTATTTTCTTTTTTTTTTTTCTTTTTCATGGTTTTCTCTTTTGTTCTGATTCTTCTTTCACAACATGGCTAATGTGGAAATATCTTTAATATGACTGTATATGTATAGCTTATATCAGATTGCATACCATTCTTGGGGAGTGGGAAAAATTTTGAACTTAAAATCTTAAAAAAGTGAATGCTGAAAATTAAATATAAATAAATAAATATAATTGAGAAAATAATAAAGCATTCACACAAAAGAAAATTCACCATCACAGAGACTGCACCAGCTTTGGTACTCATACCTCATCAGCAGTCTCAGCCTATGCTTCTCTGATTGGAGGGTTGGAAAGCAGAGCAAAAAATTCCTCCCAATGTGTGATGACTAATATTGATAGACTTAACCCTTCTCAGCAATACAAGGATCTAAGACATCTCCAAAGGCCTCGTGATGGAAAATGCTATCCACGTCCAAGGAAAGAACTATGGAGTTTGAATGCACATCAAAACATACTATTTGCTATTTTTTTTTCTTCTCTTACGTTTTGTTTCCTTTCTGGTGGTTCCTCCTATTGGTTCTAATTCTTACTTGCAACATCACTAATGTGAAAATATGTTTAATAGGAATGTATATGTATAGCCTATATCAGATTGCGCACTGTCTTGGGGAGGGAGGTGAAAAGAGAGGGGAAGAAAAATTTAAAACTCAAAAGCTTATGGAAGTAATTGCTGATAAAGCAAAATACATTCAGGAAAAAAAAAGAAAAAATATTCCTCCCAAAGCCTCCATTTGAAAAGAGCTCAGAAGGTTCAAAGCCCAAATATTGCCCACCAGCCGCATCCCATTTCCCATTCCCTACACTTTTAAGTTTCCTTTAGTTTCTTGTATTCTTCCATTAGCTCCTTGAAGGCAGGGATTGCCTTTTTTTCCCTTATTTGTACCCCAGGCACTTATCAGTGCCTGGCACATAGTAGGTGCTGAATATAAAAATCAAATGTCAGCCAACAAGGATTTATTAAGTGCTTACTATGTGCTAGGCAATGTATTAAATGCTGAGGATACAAAGAAAAGCAAAATATAGTACCTGCTCATAAGAAGTTTACAATCTAACAAGAAGAGAAAGGAGTATGTATGTATGTATGTATGTATGTATGTATATATGTATTTCTTAGCTAGACATGGCACTGAACAAAAAATTGACCATGTATTAAGGCATTAAAAACCTCACAGACAAATGCAGAAAAAAACCAAATATTAAATATATCTTTCATTGACCACAATAAAGGACTAATGAAGGAACAATTAAAAATAGATATTAAATGACCTGAAACAAATAACAGAAACAAAGAACAAATAGAAAAAGAACAAAGAAAATGCCAGCAATTAGAAAATATATAAAAATTTAGGCGATACCATTAAAACAGTCCTTTTATTAACAAAAGAGAGAAGGAACAGATCTAAGAATTGGATGTGTAACTAAAAGAACTAGAAAGCCAACAAATTTCAAAAACCAAAAGAGAAGGTAACAGACTCAATATTTAGATTAAGATAAATATATTTTGGACATGGTCAATGTGGGAACTTCTTAATATATCTTTCCCCATGGGAGATGGAGGTGAGTAAACCTGTTTCAAATTATTTTTTGTTAATTGAAAAAAATTAAAATTAAAAAAATACATGATACAACACAAAACAAAAAAAAGCATACATTTAATTACTATATAAAAATAACTAAAGCAAAAGGTTTAAAATTTTTAAAGAAAAGAAATGCGAAAGGGAAAGAGAAAAAGAATTGTTAATGTTACTTTGCTAAAGTTTATGTCTACACAGAGAAAGCAACTTATTCTTCATTTTGACTATCCATTTAATTGTTTGTTCGTAGCTCCATAAATTATTGTTCTGGTTCTTTTCATTTCACTCTGAACCATTTCATCCAAGTCTTTCCAGATTTCTATGAACTGTCCCCTTCATCATTTCTTATAGCACAGTAATATTCCATCACATCCCTATCCCATAATGTGTTCATATGTTCACCAACTGATGGGCATTCCTTTAGTTTCTAGTTCTTTTCCACCACAAAGAATTGCTAAAGATATTTGTGCTCATATAGTTATTTTTCTTTTATCTGTTTGAGATACAGGTCTAATAATGGTACTGTTAGGTGTGTTCCATTTAGTAATTTTGGGAGGAAAGTTCCAAATTGCTTTTTTTTTTTAAGAAAGGCTGGACCAATTCATAACTCTACCAACTGAGCATGTTCTTAGAGAGTGCCTTTTGGATGACTTCCTGATAAATTCATGCTAGCCTGCATGATCACTATTTCCCTTATTAAGTGTTCACCAACCATCCCTTTTAATAACATTTTCTAGAATTTTGACAGGAATCAAAAGCAAGCTCATCAGGCTACACTCTGAAGAATTTACCTTCTTCCCTTTTTGAAAGTAGGGACATTTGCCCATCTCCTGAGTTAGACCTCTCCATAATTCACAACTTTTCAAAGATCAGACAGTAGTTCAGCAATTACATCCATGACATCTTTCAGTTCCTAGGGATGTAAGACAGGCAGAACATTGATCAGCACCATTGTCCCATCTTAATTTAACCACTCCCTGTCTAATACCAAACTGATGCTAATCTCTTTTCTTTTTCTTTTTGAAAAAGCATTAATAGCTATTTTGATTTCAAAGAAGTCAAAATAGTAGTAAAAGCAGAACACTCATTGCTTACTGTATCAAGATGACAGGAGACCAATAAATAGCAGCAGTCCTTTCCCCAGTTCTCTGTTCCCTCCATACTGGGGTTGTAAGTAAACCTAAGCAATTGGTATAACTACTAATTGTTGTTTTAGGTCTGCTCAGAAAAGGAGAAGTGGAACATAGGCTCCCTATTAGTTACAGGACCAAATACAAACTCCTCTGCTTAACACTAAAAGCTCTTCACAAACCTGGCTCATTCTATTTTTCCGATCTTGCTCTTTTTCTCATACTCTCTTGCTCATGTTCTGGCCAAACTGGCATTCTTACTGTTTCTCACACATCATCCTCCATGTCTTATCACTCATGCCTTGAATGTGTTTTTTCCTCATCTCTGCCCCTTATAGTTCCTAGTCTCCTTCAAAGCTCAGCTCAAGAGCTACCTTTTATAGAAAGCCTTTCCTGATCTTCACTCAGCTGCCACTGCCTGTCCACCGAAATTACCTTCCATTGTTTTGTGTATACTTATATGTATACATGTTTTCTCCCCAAAAAGATCATACAGTCCTTAAGGACAGAGATTATTTCATTTTTGAATGTTTGTTTTGATTATCAATTGCACCAAGTTACTTATGTCACCAAGAAAATCCATCCAAACCCTGAAGTCACACTGAAGTCAAATTAAGGGACTGCCATTGCTGCTCCTACCTTGGAAGAAGAGTGTGTATAGAAGTCATCAGATGAATGCAGGAAACCCAACCCAAATAAGAACAGGTTCTACCCAGGGCTACATGAAACCTAAAACTTAAACACATAACCATAAAACTGAAAAGAAGTTTACTGGGCATATTTCAGACATCAGAATACCAAAACAACTTTGAAATATTAATTGATAAGACACTTTTGTCTGATAAGGTTTGCTAAAACTGCTCATTAACCATGTCCTATATATAGTTACACTGCATGCTAGTACAAGAAGATTTAGAATGGCTAACTGACTAAATCCAAAGACTGGTATTGATGTCAAATAAGGAGGTCTCCAGTGTACTGCCACTAGATTCTGTCCTTGGCACTGTTTTGTTCATTTGTTTTCATCAGTGATTTGGATGAACACTTGTTAAATTTGGAAATGACAAAGCTGGAAAAGATAGTTACTATAATGGAATATTGAATCAAGGTCAAAAAAGCTATCAACATATGAATTTGGCCCATCTCAATAAGAAAGCTAGGATCTAGTAAAAAAAAAGTCAATTGAATAAAAAAAAATATTTCTTAAGATGTTAAGTTTTACAAGGAGGTTAAAAATCACTAGCACCTTTACCACTATTCTCATTATCGTAATACAGAAAACAGAGGTAAGACCTATTCTACTTGGCCTTGGAGGGCCGAATTAAAACAAATGGTGAAAGTTACTGCCAGATTTCATCTCAATATGAAGGAAAAAGTCTTAATAATCAGAGCTATTCAAAAAATGTAACAGGTTGTCATAGGAGATGGACATCTCACTGCAGGTCTTCAAGCGAAGGGAGGATAAGTAGTCAGTTGTTACTGTTGAAGAAATTCATATTTCAGATATTAGTTGAACTAAATACCTCTGAGATCCATCCTAGTTCTAAAACTATTTTCTCTATTTTAATAAAATATATAAAAATTATACTCTTTCTACAAGTCAGGTGATAAGGTGGTGCAGCAGATCAAGCACTATGTCTAGATTCAGAAAGACATAAGCTCAAATCTAGCCTTAGAAATCTACTAGCTGTGTCATCCTAGGGAAGTTGCCTATCTGCTGTTTGCCTCAGTTTCCTAATATGTAAAATGGGCTCATAAAAGCACCCACTTCCCAGAGTTGTTGTAAGGATTAAATGAAGTAACATGTAAAGCACTTTGCAAACCACAAATCATTAAATAAATGCTACTTATCTAGTATTATCTTTTAAAATTTTGCCTTACAACTAAAGTGAATCCCACATCTTAAATGGGGAGGCCAAACTCTAAGTTCGTTAAATAAAATGATCTTTCTCAAAATAATTAAAATTGACCAAACTCTGAAACAGGGTTCAGATTCAGGTCTTCCTGACTTAAAGTCTAACACTCTGACTAATGCACCACCAAACTACATACAGACTTTACCTGTATCCAGAAACCTTCTCCTTTTAAATGTAAAATATGCACTTTATGAGGCAGGTAGGTGGCCCAGTGGATAAAGTACTGGCTCTGGATTCAGGAGGACCTGAAATCAAATCTGGCCTCAGACATATAACACTCACTAGCTGTGTGACTCTGGGCAAGTCACTTAACTTCAAATGCCTCACCCCCCCCCAAAAAAAAACCCAACAACAACAAATCAAATAAAACATGTACTCTGGTTTGCAAAAGCACATATTGAGAATGACCTCATTTTAGACTAAAAACTCAAAATAAGCCAGGGATGAGCCATCAGCCAACCAAGGTTGACATAGTTGATTTGTAAATCATATATTGGTAGGTAGGTGGTGCAGTGGATAGAGCACTGGCATTGGAATCAGGAAGACTAATCTTCGTAAATTCAAATCTGGCCTCTAAACAAGTCACCTAATCTCTGCCTGCCTCAGTTCTTCATCTGTAAAATGAGCTGGAGAAGGAAATGACAAACCACTCTAGTATCTTTGCCAAGAAAATGCCAAAATGGGGTCACAGAAAGTCAGACATGACTGCAATGACTGAACAATAAAAAATCAGTGATATCAAAGAAAAAATTGGAATTTAAGACAATTCAATCTCAAAATAAAAGCACCCAAGTAAAATTGATCACTAGGCTTTCAAAAGGCATTATTGAGCACTTGCCCTGCAGTCAGGAGGACCTGAGTTCAAATCTGACCTCAGACCAAACATTTGACACTTACTAGCTGTGTGACCTTGGACAAGTCACTTAACCCCAATTGCCTAAAACAAAACAAAACAAAAGGCATTATTATAATACCCATCATTTCTTATTTTATTTATTTTCCTACAAGGGAAAATAATATTCTCAAACATCTGGTTATAAAACTTGATACAGCTGCTCAATTTTTTAAGGAGACTATTGCTAAAAATACATTATTTCACACTTCAAATACTAAATTTAGTCATACTCTTCTAATTAAATAGACTAAAACATCAGCCAGATTCTCTATTACCACAAAAATTCAACATAACAAACTGTACTATAAAGTATTAGAGGACAGGAGCTATAGCTAAGGTTCTTTTTCTGTGAAATATCAACAAAGATCTTCATAAATGCCATGGCAAAAATGTTTATATTAACAATAACCTACTTTCTTTTCCTAATTCATACTAAAATAACACTGAAATTACTAACATTTCCATAAAGAATTAGGAAGAAAGAAATGTTATTAGCTGTTTGATTGTTTTTTGTTTTTTTTAAATCACAACCCTGATTTTATTGGCTTGAGTTCCTGATGAGGAACTTTCTCTACTAAGGTAGAATAATTAATCAACTAACTGGACTATGTTCCAGTCATTGGTGATGCAAATATAATGAAAGAGATAATCTCTACTCCCAGGGAGCTTGCATTCTAATGAGGGAGACAACAAGGACATTAGGATATACAGAAGAAATAATAAATATAAAATAGTTCAATACAACGTAGTTCGAGTGAGAACACACTAGCATTTACAGAGATCAGGAGAGCTTCAAATATCGAAAACCGTACTTGAGCTGAACCTTAGAGGAAACAAAGGGTTCTAAGAGACTGAAGTGAGAAGGAAGTGCATTCCAGGCTACAGAGTGTAAAAGCACCAATATTAGAAATAAAGTGTGAGGAACAGCAAGTTTGCAGCTTTTTATTGGATTTATAAAATCTTTTGGTTAGAATAAACATACAGAGATTCACCTAAAGAATTTAAATAAACCTACCCTTTAAAAAAATTGGTAATTCCCATAAAGCAGCAGCATTAGCCTTGCTAAAGTAAAATATTTTTAAGACTGATCTATTTTTCATCATAATAATTCATATTATTTCTATTTTTTTCAGGCTATTATTAGTTTAGCATATCTATCATTTCAGGCTATCAACTACTTAAACTACTTTATACTCTTAGCTCACTCCCCTGGATTAATGTTGTTCAAACAAAATTTTTACTGCTTGATTTATCACAGTCCATTGTGATTTCTTATCAGGAAAATGGTATCTAAAATTGAAAATACAGATATATTCTGTTTTGAGTAAGTACAAAGCAAATCAAAATGTAACTAACAGTTAAATTAAGGGGTATTTGTTGCATACTTTATAAAAATAATTTTTTAAAATAGGACTTCTATAATCTTTTTTGGTGCTTTTAAAAATGTAATTCAACTTGCCAATATTGATTTATACAAATTTTGGAAAACTACATAGACTGTGAAATGGGATATAATCTCCTTAACTATGTAAAATAAGCTTTCTACATTTAACACCTAAAAGACTCTAAATTCCTTAAACTATATAGAACTTAAGACAAAAATGTCTCCCCTTGTAACAACTTCTTCCTTTTAGATTCTTTTCAAAGAGAAGAGACTTTAAAATGTCTCAAGTTTGTGAAAACTGGATTACTTACCAGCAACTGGAGTTTTCCTATTGGGTCTTTTCCCTCACAGATCCACACTGTCTTGCCAATCTGTACAGCATCAGAATCTTCTTGATGGCCATCCACTGGAACTGAGAGGGCATGCAGTACAGATGTATATGTAAGAAAGTGGGGGAGGGAAATTTGGGAGATGCTAGAGACATGCTTCAGTGTACTTGCTTACCTTCGTGAAATTTGAAATTTCAACGGTTCCATGGTCCTCGAGGCATTCACAATAACTTCAAAGTATGTGGATCTGTGGAGATTACCCAATAGAACTCCAGTTACTGGTAAGTGATCCAGCTTTTTCTTCTCTATCAGAATAAGAACATTATTCAAACCAATACTATTTAATTTTAGGTCTTTATTGAGAACTACAAAGAAAAAGGTTATAAGTGCACTAGTCATATGTACTAGAAATAAATATATTTACACAAAAACTTGCCAGAATTTTCCACTTTTATAAATAATGTCATTGCAAATATTTTAAAATATTACTTTAGTAATATTTAGTGTATAAACTAAGCAGAATCTGTTCCATGTGTAAAGAAAAATGATAAATATCAGATCATTAATATTTAGTAAATGTTTGTATAAATCAAAACTTTGGAGATTTACTCCCCAGTGGGTTTACAATCTTAAAAGCAGGAAAGGGATCAGGAATGCTACTCATGCACTATCAACTCTGCAAGTCCTTCAAATAACTAATCACTAAAAACAGAAAAAAAGTTACTCATAAGTATCATTATTAAAATTTTTAATGCTTGCACTCCTTAGGATGAGGTGGAGAACTTTAAAATATATGATGATAAAAGAACCTGCTTGATCTCATATTTACATCCCTTTAAGTTTCAAATATATACCACCACTATGACCAATTCTGCATAATCATCCCTTTTAATACCTGCATAGTCATCCACTGTAACAAAAAAGAAAAATGCAGTTCACCAAAACTAAACAACACATCCATTAAACCTGGCAGCATACACAATGTTCTACTACATTCACAGTCTCCAACTTTGCAACGAATGAAGTGGGATATATTTTCTCCCACCTTCTTTGACACCCAGATTGTTCTTTATAATTTAAAAGCCTAATAATCCCAAAGCCCCATGTCTTCTCTTCTCCAAGTTAATTCCAAAGGTTTCACCATGTCAGTCTTCCTCTAAATGAAAAACAAAATTTGATCATATTTCTTCTAAAATATACTGCTCAAAACTATGACACTCTAGATATGTTCTAACCATCAAGTCTCATAGTTTCTTCCTTCAAAGCATCTCTTATATATGCCGCCTTTTCTCCACTCACAACCCAGCCACTCTAGTGCAGATGTTCATCATCTCAATTACTGCAACAGCCTTCTAGTTGGAATTCCTGCCTCAAGTCTGTCCTCCAGTCATAAGTTTGACTGTCACACATACATACATACATACACACATACACACACACATACACACCCTCAATAAATTCCAGTGGCTCCCTATTACCTCAGGATCAACTATAAACTCAGGATCAACTATAAAATCTTCTGTTTAACTTTGAAAGCCATTCATAACCTTCATGACTTTCTACTTTTCCATTATTCTTGCACTCTACACTCCCCTCCATTACTCTCCTTCAGATACTCTATGAATAAGCAACACTAACGTCTGCTTTCTGTTCCTTGCAAATGACAGACACTTCATTTCCAGACTTTGTCTTTTCTCTGACTGTCCCCAAGCCTGAAATGCTCTCACCTCCTTACTTCTACTTTCACCTCCTGCCTTCCTTGTCCTCCTTCAAGATTCAGCTCAAATTTCATCTTCTGCAGAAGTACTTTCCCAGTCTCCCTATCCCAACTCTATTACCTCACCTCTAGTGCCTTCTCTCTGGGATTATCTCCTCCCATTTATACCATAAGCACATAGTTCTTTGCATGTTGCCTTCCCATTAGAATATAAGTTTCTTGAGGGCAGAAACCATATTGTTACCTTTATTTGTATCCCCAGTACTTAACACAGTGCTGGGCACATAGTAAATGCTAAAAAATGTTTGGACACTGAAGAAACATGGCAGAGTATAAAAGTACTATAATATCCCTTGTTCTGGGCGCCATGCTTCTAAACTTATGTTACATTGTTAATTTATACTGATTTTACTATACAAGCGTCCCTCTCCCCCCCCCATATATAGACACTTTTCCTTTGTCCAGCACAAAAGTTTAAAAAAAAATCACCTCTACACATTTAAGACTTAGCATTGATACTATTATTTAACATCCTCTTATTAGATTAAGTTTACCCATAATTCTTGCCTTGAGGGCTACCTTTTTGGACCACAATACTGTCAACTCACCCTACCTCTCCCAGCTTCACTGTCCTTTGCAAATTTTAGAAGTATACTATCTACACCCTTCATCCAACTCATTAAGAAAAAGGGTGAATGTAATGGGATCACAGATTAGAACCTTGTGGCATCCTCACTAGATACATAACTCCAGTTTGACATTAATCTATTAAAAATCAGTGTATCAGACTTAGAGTCCAACTAACTATATTAGCAGCATCAACCCCACATTACTTCATCTTGTCCGTAAGAATATCGCAAGATATTATCAGATAACTTAAGCCAACAGAAAAAGACTATTATGCATCTGGATTTGTTTGGGAGATAGAAAGGCAAACAAGTACTAGCATTTACAGCACAGAAGGAAATATCCTTCTGCAGTTCTTTAAGAGCAAGTGCCTCTAAAGACAAACTGTTGATTGTATGCATCATGGAGTGCTAGACAGTAAGAGAGCTGCCAGTATATAAATCTGTGGTAGAACTAGTAACCAGGGGCAGCTAGGTGGTGCAATGGATAGAGCACTGACCCTGGATTCAGGAGGACCTGAGCTCAAATCCAGCCTCAGCCACATAACACTTACTGGCTGTGTGACCCTGGGCAAGTCACTTAACCCCAATGCCTAGCCAAAAAAAAAAAAAAAAGAACTAGTAACCAGTCATTAATTGAAGCACAGGGTAGATATGCATGTTTGTTATTAATCTTGGTCAAGAAAGCATTTAGTCAGCATAACGAATGACTGTCAGAAAGAGACAGAGGTCTCTGGGTAAGGAACAACATCCACTTGCATTGCTTAGGTAATCTCCTTTGTACTGTCTTTATGACATGTGTATTCTCTAGTGTTAGTAGTGTTGGTCTCAGTTTCAGTCAAGCTTCACATGCTACTGAGTTCACATACACAACACATGTGATGCTGAAGCCCTATCTGAAGTCTCCAGATAAGCATGTTAGGAGAAGCAACGGCCTTACCTAATGTGGAACATTTTCTAAAACTTCATTTTAATTTCTCTAGAAATAAAGAAATGCTATTTCTCCAGCCTAAAACACTGCCTCAAACTCTTCCCTTTAGGAAAGTGGGAAGAGTAAGGGTCATTGTTCTCTTTTGAAATTCACAGTGAAGATACTGATAAGTAACTTTTAAAGGCAAGTAGTCCAGGAAAGAATTGAGTAGAGACTGTTAACCCCAAACTGTATTTTTAACATATTATGATCTTTTTCTTATTCATAAGATTCTATAAATAACACCTGAAAACTTCTTGACAGAGAATCATATCAAAAGACTATGACATTTTTGGACAATTTTCTCTTTCAAAGCTAAAAATTACTTGGATAAATATTAAAATTAAATTACTTGTGGCAAACAAGCACAAATCACAAAATTCTAAAATCAAAAGTTTAATATTTTTTATTTCAACACTAATAATGTTGCTAAAAGCCAAGAATATTTTATTTGCAGCATTTCCCTGATCTATTAGTCTACTGTTTTCTAAAAAGGTATAAAGATTAATCTGGCATGACTTGTTCTTAATGAACCTATGCATCATTGTTTAAGTGCTAATAATCCCTTTGATCTAGAATTTCATATAGAATTTTGCTTTTGAGACATAAAACTCAGGCTTAAAAGCCTTGAGTTTTTTAAATCTACTTTTTGAAAATTTAGACATTTGCTCATCTAAAGACTGGCTATCACAACCTCTCCTGTTCACATTTTTTCAAAGATCATAAAGAGTCTTTACAAATTCTTTAAGTGCTCTAGATTATAGTTCACACAGGCACAGCAGCATGGATCTATAGATGAAAAGGCCGTGAGAGCTCTTCGAGTTGAAAATTACTCAATTTACAGACAAAGAAACTGAAACCATGGGACAGCTAGGTGACGCAGTGGATAGAGTACTGGCCCTGGATTCAGGAGGACCTGAGTTCAAATCCAGCCTCAGATACATAACACTTACTAGCTGTGTGACCTTGGACAAGTTACTTAACCCCATTGCCTAGCCAAAAAAAAAAGAAAAGAAAAGAAAAGAAAAGAAAGAAACTGAAACCCAGAGAGGTTCAATGATTTACCAAGGTCAGATCCAGGATTTGAACTGAGATTTTCCAACTTCAAATCTAGCACTTTTCCCTCACAGAGGCATGCAGTGACAAAATCAATGAAAAGATGTTTTATCTTCTTGTTTATATAGGGAGACAGGATGGCAGAGCCCAAAAAAGTCCCCCAAAAATCTGGGTTCAAATTCCACCTCCATAACCTCTGCATCGTATTTTACTAATCAATGAAATGAAAATAGTAACAACTGCCATTACCAACAACACAATTTGATGGGGTTTAAATTTAATATTCTATATAAATTAACATTCCATGTTAAATTTAATATTCTATAAAGATTCTGTAAATGTTAACAGTACTACACAAATATCAGTGTAAAAATCATTAACTTCAGTAAAGAAAACAGAAGCAAAATGAGAATTGAATATTTCTGTCTTTTTCATTTTTCATCCACAAAACAAGTTTTATTCCTTCTTTTAGGGTCTTCTGAAAACAAAGCTTTAAAAAAAAAGGTATCCAGCTCATTAGGGGATTTAATAATCTTGATATTATTCATATATAATTTTTTTTGCTTCTCGTCAGTTACCTGCCCTTGAAATCTTTCATTTTTCTTTTTCTTTATTCATTATCTTCATCAATTCTTATACCATAGTAGTATTCCATTATATTCATGGACCACAAGCTGTTTAGCCATTCCTAAATCAATGGGCACCTATCTGCTTTGTTTCTAAATCTTTGCTACTACAAAAAGTGCTACTATAAATATTTTGGTGTATACATGGGAACTTTCTTATCAATGACCTCCTTGGAGCATAAATAAGTCTAGTAGTGGAATCCCGGTCAAAGGGTCTAGACATTTTGCTGACTTTATTTGCATAATTCCAAA